TTATGCTCCGGTGGGAGCAGAAATGAAATTTGTGTTATTCATAGGATTATATAAAGTATGCAGAGTGCAACGCGGGGACTCAGACTAGCCTCAGACTTAATTCAATCAAAAGTTACCAGAAAACAATGAAAATGCCATCCATAGTTAGTCGGTAAACCTGCGGTGCTTTCAATGCCGTATAAGTTTTTGAATAGAGTTTTTAATCTAATTGCGGGAGCGGCCAAGGATGGAGAATATCCGTAGGTTCGTGGCTTGAGCAACGAGAGAAGTCTACGAATTTCCATGTTTGAAGGGAAGAATGGCTCAACGACGAAGTGATTAACTCATATTTTACAATGTTCCAGGTTGGGGGCTTGAGTCCGCTACATGAAGATATCCGTAATTGGATCTAAGCGATGATACTATCATGATAGCAATGGGAGCCGATTGGAGCCTTCGGTCCGAAAGTGTTTTTCTGGAACTTTTGGAAATTATTGGGCTCGGGAGGGTACAACTACAATGCCGTTTCAAGGAAACGGTATGTTCAAGTCAGGTATGAGCACATTTATTTGGCTACTCGAGTATTTCCAGGTGGACTCATCGTCGTCGAGTTGATATATCCTCATATGATAAAATGATGCTTCCTCTCCATGTTGGAGCATCAGCAATCATCCCTCCTGTCGAAGCATTGGACATTGGGAGTAGTAGAGTCCGAGTTATGCTATTACGATTTTTTGGGTGGATCCTATGACAAGTTCTTCGAGTAAGACATGTATGATCTGTGCGTATAGATAGTGATACGAAATGAGTAGAGTAGTATTATTAATATAGTAACATCGATAGTTTCATGTGGTAATCGCCGCCTTCAGCTACATCGCTGCCTATTTAAGAGACGAGCATGATCACAAGCAGTCGAAGATTCCTCTACAGGACCTTGAGCAATGGAGACAGCTAGATTCAACGAAATTTGGCTGCCTTGTAATTTGGCTCTGTCTATCACTTCATGCTAACGTAGCTTGCAGGTACCTCGGCAAGATAACTCATACGACTGTGGCGTATTCATGTGCATGTTCGCGGAGGCGCTGGCTTGCGGCAAGTATTCATATGCATCTACGAGGCATATATTGCTGTCCTAAAGGCATCGTTATCTCAGATCTATCACAACTGTGTCTCAAGACAAGATCTCTAATATGCGATCAAAGTCTTTGATTCAAAGATGGCAACCGATATAATGTCGGGTCGTATAACGTCGTGTATAGGCTAAGGTTTATTGAGATGTAATTGACTTCGGCATTCGGAAGATGTGTTAATCACGTCTCATTTGTATGATACATCATCCTCATGGTGGTCGCTGTGGGGCTTACTTCGCCTGTTTGTATCAGTTTCAACTCGTTCACGCGCTTGGCTGGTCTCGATACTACTGGGTCATCTCAATAAGGTATCTACGGTTGCTCAATCCTGTTTCGAAGGTATCTCTCATTCCAACTTTGTACAGTTTAAGACTATTTCCGATTCATGAGTAATCTGATGTTCATTGATCCCTATGATAGAGTTCAGAAGATTTCATTCAATCAACGAAACTCAATTGTCCGGGGTAAAGATAGGATATCAACATGGTTTCTTTAGCTGCGTTATATCGAATGTCCCCTATGCGTAAATCGACTCCGTTCGGCCACAATCAACTAGTTATCTTCGCTTTTTCACTGTGCGGCTCGGCTTGTGCGAAGTAGACAGACAGAAATAATATATCTATCTGGTATATGGTAATCTATAATATTGTAATATCACAAGCAGGTTACCTTAGTAACACCCGTGAACTGTATTGGTCTCAGTAGGCAGTCATTGACTGGCTACCATACCCTCATGGAGCAACCTCAGGAAGTGGTTAGAAGTAGGAGCTTTGCTCTCTACTTGAAGGGAGATCGAAGCTCTGGTCGAGCAGTGGGAGAGTTAGTTACTTCTGACTCAGAAGTTCTGAGCGGTGGCGATCCGAGCTTCACGTAGCACCGCTGTGTTACATCTTCCTTGAATCCCTAAATGAATATCTCGTCACGATCGGTACCTTGTAGGTTGGTACTACCAACTTGGTAGTGGACTGGAGACGATCCGCATCTGATGCGGCGCATCAATGAAGTTGCTCTTTTGGATACGGGCGCAGGGATATTCTCAGTCTCTAAGCAATGCAGCGACGCGCTAGAAAAGAATATTCTGGAAGTAGCCTCTGCAAATGCCAGGACGAAAGGTGCCTGTACATCACGAACCTCAACACGATGTGCTCGCTGTACATTTGATTGTGCCTACAGGACATTCGTCCCCTCCTTGAAATTGGACTTAACCCCCTCCGGTGATGTCATTTTACTCATCAATGGAATGCGCGGAATTGAAGGTGCCTGCTCCCTCGACATTGCAACTAGGCAGGGACTACTTCGACGGTCGAAGTTCGACGGGAAAAGGGCGGTATGGTCGACCATCCCGTCTTGATGTTGGCAGTGATGAAGCACATAGTGGAGCGAAACGTCAGTGTGGATTAACTCCCCTGTGAGAGTAAATCTACTGTAGACCATCCTGCCAACTCGACACCAGTAGATTAACTCGGTTCACTAAGTTATATCGGACATCTTAAGACGATATTTTCCTTTTGAATAGTTCTTCAACTTCCATCTTTCTCAGCGACATCCAGTCATCGTCGTCATCAGCTTGCTCGTCGTTTTCTTCCGTATCCGGATCATCCTCAGCAGGTCTGAGCGTCTGTGGTACCATCTCACTCTCTTCCGTACCGGCAAATTGCTCGCCCATCGTCATTGCTTCATGACAAAGGAATTTCACTAAAGCTTTCGTCTGTCGCATACCCTTGATGTGATTCTTTGCTCGTGTAAGCTTATTGAAGGTCATCACCGAGGCCTGACAGGCGGCGTGGTCTCGTTGAGGCTTCTTGGATAGCTTAGGGGTCGGTAGTGTCGATAGTTCGAGCATATCACTGAGCTTGCTTCTGAAAAGTTCTCTTCTATTCAAACGTAGTACATCGACTCACCCATCGTTCGCGTTGAAGATGAGCATTTTTCGTATTTTCCCTTCTGTTTTCCTCTTGCAAATGAGAGATTTTATACTGAGTTGCTCTACAAAGTCGAAGATCACGGTCCCCTCGCTCGAGGATGATACCATGCACTCAGTCGGGCTCGCCCCTCCCTTGAGTCTCTGTACTGTCTAAGGCAAAAACCAATACCACACCTCCCCGACATCATTACTGTTACCAGCCCTAGGAAAGCCCAGCTATGGTGGAGACAGAGAAGGGATGTGATGAGTATTCGCATAGTAACTCAGTGAGCTGCGCAACCATGAAGAGACGCCAACAGTTAACGGGCGTCTCCGATGGGCGGCCGAAATTGCCGTCTACAGTAGTCAGCACTCCATCAGTCAGACTGTGGTTGTGCAGTCTTTCGTAGTTTGTTACTCTGATTCACGCTGGAACGCGAAATTGAAATGGGTCTGATAACGACTCATGGGAAGCGGTTCTCCACGTGGACCATTGAGAATTCCTCAATGAGAAGTGTGACACACTGGTGCATTCGGCAACCTTCTCACTCAGCCTCTTAGAAAGTCTGACTGATTCGATCGTTCTCATTGTGCACCCCCTATCTCTCATATTTCATTGGATCCTGGTTCATTCATCAACCTACACAGCCAACAGATCTGTCCTCATATATTGATTGAACGGTTCTGTGGCGCAATGGTAGCGCATCTAACTCTAGATCAGAAGGTTGTCCGTTCGAATCGGGCTGGGGTCATAGTTGTGATAATTTCACCCGATTAATACCAATTAGCAGGCCCCTGTGACGAATATTGGCACCACAGCATCAGCGATTGTAACAGAAGGGATTAATATGCAGCTCGCTAAAGACGTATGCCATAAAATCTTCACACAACCCTCACATTGCACACCCCTATTTGGGTCGACGAAATTTCATCCAATGATTGTGCAATCCACCCACAATCTATTTTTTTCATGGACTTCTCTCTGCAACTCTGACTCTACCCATATACTCCCAACGTGAATCAAACACAAACGCATAACCACTTTGCTCTTCGTGGAAATAATGAATTTGCTCAACAAATGCAGTTTCGCTAAATTGGTCACCGAGTGAATGGTGTCGATTCGTTCGCTTATCGGGTTGAAAGTTACACATTTGCCAGGGAGGGGAGGCTTAACCCAGCTTCTTCGACGGTCCCCTGCTATCTTTCAAATCATCAAACCAACTCGTTAATAACTTGTCTCCTGAAATGTCCCATGGAAATCTACGCCCACCCTTGAGCCTTGTAGCCAACGTTTATTCGTTATAAACGACCATGCTTCGTGTGTAGCTTCTGCTCGTCTATTTCGCGCCTTCCTGCTTGTATCTTACACAGTGGGAATGCTATCTTACTTTAGCCATGAGACTCACAGACTGTGAGTCACAGTGGCACAGGCTGAGGGCAGCAGGGCAATATTCTATACTGACTACTTCTAAGAATATGTACTTCTGTTGGACAATAGCCCGGAAATAATCGGGGATGATTAACTAACGCGAACAGCAAGGCAAAAATCAGATTGAAACCACGTAATCCCAACAGAGTGGTGACCAACACTCACACGAGGTGCGTATGATAGTAGTTCGAATCAGAGTTAATCACTGCTCTACTGCGTAGTGGCCGCGGCTTTCTTCGACTTCTTCTTGTTCTTCTTAGGGTTGGCGCTTTGTGCCAGCAAGGCCTTCAACTCCTCGTTTTTGACACTTTTATCCGTCTCGAATTGAGCTGAGAAGTTCCATAAAAACAACTTTAAAACGAAGACTCTGTTACCAGCAGAAGTGAACGGGAGCCCCGCGACCTTCTTAGTTCCACCGGGGAGGAGGAGAACAGTGAACTTGAACTGAGCTACGATCTCACCGGGCTTCTCACAGAGGACCTGCTCACATACCACTCCTCCGTCACATCACGATCCTCAGCTTACAGGGTATTCATGCAGGAGCTCATGCTTGAGCGCCTCTTGAACTCCGTATCTAGCTCCGGTAATGTCCTTGAAATCAGCGAGAGAGAACGCCCCACTGGGGAACCTCCGATCGACTTCAGTGAGGAACTGTCGCCCACGAGCGAGTTTGAGAGTCTAAAAATGATAATAATAACAGTGGGAGTTTATACCGTAACCTACGTAATTCCTGCCGGGGGCTCGACGGTAAACCGTAGTGCGCCTGTCGGCCGAAGGACGGGCCTTACCCTCTCCTGATGACATAAGAATATCAAGACAGTACCTGTAAGGAAGTTCGAGGCTTTCAAGGAGGAGTGGTATTCCTACACCTCGTTAAGACCAAAAACAAACTCGGGCACCTTGAGGTCCTCTGTGAACTTGGAAGCGATCGCCTGACGTGTTTATATAGTAAAGGAACATAACCGGTGGGCGTACGTTTTCTCCCTCAATATTGTGCTTTTCCAGTTGGTGGCTGAGGACACCTCTGATGGGCTGAACGCCAAACTCGTCGGCGACTTGTTGCATCAAGTTCGTGATGTCAGTGTTGGTGTTACCTGATATAGGCTCAAAACGGGCACAGCGAAGAGTATCTTTCTTACCAAGTTTGACTTTCCTGAGGACGGCCTCAGCGGCAGTATGAGCGGCCATGACGGTGTCAGCGGCCTTGCCGGTTGCCTTGGCATCACCAGCGATTACAGTGTTAGCCGCAGCAGTGATAAAACCGTCAATTTGAACGGCAAGATCGACCTAAGATACTTTTCGTGCCCCAGCGAGGGTCCACGGATGAGGTCCACCTTGACGATATCCCCTTCCTTGATGGTGATGGATTCCCCCTGCAGTGGGCTGAAATGGCCGGCGACTTCGTTGATGCTGATGCACGTCGGGAAGGCGATCCCCTTGGGAACTACAGCACCCTTAACCTGACCTCATCCGTATCTTATACCGTCAACCTAAAGATTCCCCTCACCTTTTTATTGTATAACTTTCCCGTTTGTTCCTCGATGAAGTCATCACCGAGCCTACAAAGATCATAAACATCAGCCCCCGGCTTCACAGCAGCCAAGACGAGCTCAAGGGCCTTGTTGGTGATACCTAGAAGGACGTATGCAGTGGAAGACCGGAATGATGTTGTTACCGGCTGCGGCAATGTACTTAGTGGTAACATCAGGATTAGAAAGATCAGTCACCTCGTCTTCGTATTCAGAGTCGGACATGCTTTAACTTAGTAAGGGCTTCCTGATGCGATGATGTGATTATCTGCGTATTTTCCGCCGCCTGGTGAGTGAAGACGACGGCTAATTACCATATAGATCAACTGGGCGCGCGCCTTAATAGTTTGTACTTTTCGGTGAAAGCCGTCTCCAGTAATTGTTGGTAAAATCTTCCATGATCAAGTCCTTAGTAGTCGCTGCGGAAATCACCAGTTTGGTCAGCGCGACGCTCACGGTAAGGAACGGACCTCATTCGGGCCTATTCTGTATCTTTGTGCGTCAACCTAAGATATTTCTCTTCAGGTGAGCCGTTGCCAATATAGCCCCCATGAGTCCGATGACGGTAAATGCTGTTGTGTGAGATCCACTAATCGCCGCTATCGCGGGACTGAAGTTCAGCTTTGCCTCGACGGCGACGACGGACTTCCCTCATTCAAATGGGCTAAGTGCCCTGTGAAAGAGGATGGAAAACTCATTAGGGGTGAATTTACGAGCGAGTGAGAAGTTTATGCAACCATCCCATTACCAAATATATTTTTTCAGAGACGTTCGCGTCCCTCGTGAGGTTTATGAGAAGTTCTTTTCGGGATGGAGCCCCAGGGCCGACACACTTGCCTCGTGTAAATCAGCCTTCCGCAGCTTTCAGAGGAACGCTGTCGGGCGTACGTGGGGAACAGCCAGTCGCAGAGTCGTCGATAACGTGTGCTCAATGATCGATGCCTACGAGGAGAAAGCGGCTACCCCCAAGACCAATCCAACTCAGAAAGCTACCAAATTCGACCAGTTCGATGAATTCAACCGTTAGAAACGTGATGTGAGCAACATGTCGTGATGTAGATGTCTGTTATTGTATCCGTCCGGCTTGTGTTCACTATGAGGGGATGAGGTTCAGCAGTTGTATGTTGGCCTTGGTTCTTTTACTAAACCTGTTGATAGCTGCGTTGGCCCGTCGCAGACTGGGTAGTTCGAAACGGGGTCTAGCACTTGGCCGATTGACGAACTCGGTTACTAAGCGTGTGCGAAGGTCAAGCGAAGAGAAGGGAAAATATCGCCCGAACGTTCAGGTAGGTTCGAACTCGGATCGTGGGCATGACAGCCAACCCTACTAATCAGTTTAGTTTTAGGCTAAATCTGTTGACGATAAGGGTGCATTCCTCGATATCTGCTATATAGCACCGAGGAAGGGAGAGGCGGAGAACCAAAGATGGGGAGTCTTGTTTGAGAGTAACGAGGATAAGTACCTCATACCCCTTTGGGCCGAGTGTAACAATAATCGACATTTAGAAGGAGCAATGTAAGTTCTCCGCGGATCGACCCTGGGTCTTCCGAGTGTTAGTGAGAAGTATTATCCAATTACACTATGCTGATTTTAGAGACGCTGGTCGGTTTGACTCCACCGGTAGTCACGTCGCTAATGGTGGGGGATATATCGAGCGTATTATGAAAGATGACGAAAGACGCAATGAGCGCGTTGGCTGCTCTACGAAGTTGAACCGTTTGTTCACGAAGTTGATGGAAACGAGTAAAGAATTCAGTGAAACTGTGTACGCGAATAGCAATCTCCGGAGGAAGAAGAGCGACAGACTACTGCTAATCACTGAGTTCTGCAAGTACTCTCGCAACATCGACTCCGCCTTGGGCCCACCAGACCTGACTGCTAAGTTCATTGGGGATCGAGGCACTCCGGAGGCATACTCTGGAGGTGGTGAAGATGGTGATTATGAGGACGAGGAAGAGGAAGAGGAGGAGGAGTGAAAATTAGCATAAATGATCGAAACATGTGAGATACCATAAGCGCTGTTGTTGTTTGTTGTGATGACATTCTTCTGTTGAGTTTCCAAGTCTAGTATTCTGAGTAGTTAGGCGGTTGCTATGAGCTCCCTCGATGGGACCACCAGGAGACGTGGAGATACCCCTAAAGTACCACTCATGAGCAAACGATGTCTCCTTCTTTGACCCCTATTCAGCTTCGATCGTCGGCGTATCGGCCGTTGGCGGTACTGGCGGATCCGATCTTCCTCGAGAAGCGACAGTGAGTTGGCTACAACGTCCGTGGTACAGCGTCTCGTCAGGCACAGGGAGATGAATCGGCTGTGGAGGGACATTGTCAGAAAGGCTCGGCAAGAGAAAGCAGCCCAGGACTCTTCAAGGGAGTTCGGCTTTGGTGCTATGACAAGCGACGCAGTAGGGGAAGACATCCTTGGGAATAGGGTTGGTTGGGTCCTCGAGAGGGCCTTGAAGAGCAGACTCAATCAGGTGGTGACTACAGGGAGCAGTATGGACGTGCTGGACTCCCTACCGCACCTGGGCTGCCCGGAGGCTTCCCCCGCTCCCAGTTCCTCGGAGGGCTCCATCGATGGTCGTTCCCTCCAAGCCGGGGACGTCAGCGATCCTGGTGGGTTTACTGTGGACAGTGTCGGAGATCGGCAATCACTTTATAGGTGTTCAATGCTCTCGTCCTCGGTTGTTCACTCCTGAGCGTCGACGTAAGACAACTGTTGTCCCCGGGGTTTCTGCATACAAGTCCTTCAGGCAGCCTATCTCCGGTGAAGCTTCAAAAGCGGCCACGGACAGCGAGTAGGACTCCGGGCTCTCGAGCCGCTGAGAGAGTCGAGCGGCGAAGGGCATCTCTTAGGGTGGGTTGGGGGACGGTTTGTGAGATGAAGTTGTTGGTATGCAGTCCCCTGGGTTATCCCTGGGCCTGCGGGATTATTGCGAGACCCCTGAGGAAAACTGGGGGAGCGCGATGACGGGGCCTTCTGGTGAGCTCTGCCGCCTCTAGAGTCGATCGATAGTTCGATTCAGAGTCTACCGCTCAACCGGAAAATATCTTTTCGGCTACTGGTGAACCTCTGAGTAGCATCTTCATGTCACCACCAAAGCCAACAGGAGGAGGAGGAGGAGGAGGGAGTGGCTTGCTGGATGGCATCGATGGTGAAAAAGAGCATCATCATCAGCCGATACGCCGTCGTGGCGGAAGATGTTAGTCGATGCCTGATAGAGTTGTGTTACCGATGAGATTGGGTATGGGCTTTTTATGTGGTCATTCAAGGAAAGATCGAAGTGTGCAGTAGACTTGTTAAAACGACATGAGACGTTCGTGAACTGCTCGAAGGCAGAAAGCAGTTGTGTATACAATAAACAGAGAGAATGCGTGTTTGATGGCATTTAATCGAGAGGTCGAGATTGTACCTCGTTAACCAGACATGCCATTTATATAACAGTATGGTCTAGTGGTATGGCGCTCGCTCAAAGAGCAAAAGGAGTCGAGTTCCATCCGTGGTGCAGCCATCGAGTTAGCGAGTTGACACACGAGCACATATGTGAAGATTGACGAGATTCACGTGACACTTTCAACATGGATAGTATAAAGACATTTTATGCTCCACGTTACACCGTGCGCGATACCACAGGGCTGTAACTACACCACTTATTCTTCAAACTTCTCTTATGGCAACAATCACAGAGCGAAGCCCTAGTCGCCATGTAACTTCATGTGCTCGCTCGTTATGTTGCACGATAATGGTGCTGCAAATCGAGGAGCACGTATATGTTAGAATTCTGCTGGGCGAGCGAGATTTGCGCTAGTCGACGAGATTTGAAAAATCGTGGTTGAACGCAAGTACGCGACGTAAGATGATAGAAGCGTGAATGAGCTTCCGCGTGCGGAGTTGGGTTTTTTACCTTCGTGTGGTTGTTGTATAAGGCTCGGGTGAGGTGCAGCGTTATGGTCGTGGAGCTGTCGTTGTAGGGTTATACCAGATCAAGTACTTGGTACTTTAACGCCTGTCCAACCCAATGGTAGCTGGCACCACTTATCGTCGCGTTGAGAAGCATACCGAGAAGACTGAGGTGGGCCCCATCACCTTTTAGGGGGTCTCTGAGGTCACCTTAGGTCGAAGATGGTGAAGTTCGTATTACCTCTGTCGGTCGAGTTAATAACTTCGTAGATGATGCAATCCATTGGTTCCTCGGTGACGATGATGACCATAAGGCTTGCAAGAGCGTTAAGATCATGGCCAGAGGTGAACCCTTCCCCACCGTTAGGGGACCCAATCGTGGTCATTCAGGTGTGGCAGTGGCCAAAGCCGTCATTGTGTCGGAAATCCTCATCCGCCGTGTTCCTGGGCTCAAGCAAGCCGTCGAGCTCGGCAGCAATGACGTCGAGGAGGAGTATGAGCCCGTTGATGATGCTGAGAAGGATCACGTGGGTCGAAGGGTGTCGCGTTAAGATACACAGTTGGTCAGGTTAAACAAGTCCGTATCGTACCATATCTTGTCAATACCCTAACAGCTACGAAGCCTCTTACTAAGGACGACATAAAGCCTGATGAATTCGTCGAGTAATACGACAAGTATTTTGGCTTGCCTTCAGCGCTCCACGATCAGACGCCCTGATCTCGCCGGTGACGGAGGTCGTCGTAAAGGCGGTGGGAAGGGCCGTGGTGGGAAGGGAAAAGGTGAGGACTTGTCCTTAAGTTATGATAGTAGTGTCTTCTAGGTGGTCGTGGCGGTCCCCGTAGTGGCGGCGACCGTCCTCGTGGTAAATCGGGCGAGTCTAATAAGAGTAATTCGTAGAAGGATTGCAGTGCATCAATTCACTTAGTTGTGTCAGATGAGAAGACCAAGGGTGGCAAGAGTGGAGGAGATAATAACGTGGCCGCCTAGAAGATGTAGGTTGTTGGTTTGCCATTGAATTGTGTTATCGTCATTTCCTTCAGTCCCTGGATGGGTAGTCGTTGTCATTAAGATGAGTCCTTCGTAGTGGTGATGATGATTGAGTAATCAGATCATTCTGAGCTTCTTCCTCGTCCCCACTTCTGCTGTCGTTATTATTATTTGTGCTAATCCTTAGTCGAACTGTGAATCGTCCATGGCGAGTTGATAACGTCGTCCTAAGCAATCTATCAACTGTTGATATCACAAACTTCTTGTGTTTTAATTCAAAAGGTGCTGGCAGTTACGCGCGTTGAAGATTCGCGTCGACCGTTTCAATGGTGGTCGCGATTCTTTTTTTGGGCGAGCGCTTTTTACATCAACGCGGTTTGTGGTCGTTGGATAATTGACTTTCTCTACTAGCTTTACGTCTTTACCCCATTTTATCGATGGTTACGAAGTTCCGACGTGTGCAGAAGACTGTGGGTACTACTGCTCCCGAGGAGGGTGTCTCTGAAGTTCGCGTGACGTCTATGGGACGCGTCAATGCCTTCGTTGAGGAGGCCATTGAGCGTTTGGTTGGTTCAGAGAAGCACGTTGCCACTAAGCAGATTAAAGTCATGGCTCGAGGTGGGTCCTTGTTGGTTTACTCTGAGGCACTTTGTTTTCAGGAACTGCTATTGCTAAGGCAGTGATCGTGTCGGAGATTCTGAGCCGCAGAGTCCCCTCCCTGTCTCAAGAGGTGAGTAAGGCGGTGTTGGAGTGGCTTGAGTTTTTTCGTTAGGTTGAGCTCGGCTCGAGTGATGTTGAGGACGTCTTCGAGCCTGTTGGGGAGCACGATGATGATGTTGGGAATGTGACACAAGTTCGCATCGTGCCGTCTCTAGTTGTTACTTTGAAAGCCAACAAGGAGATCAAGCAAGAGGATATCAAGGAGCATGAGTTCATCAAGTGAGTCTATGGTCAGATGCTGTGCATAGTCTCTCTCATTTCAGGCGTCCAGCGCTTGCTGATCCTCCTAGCTATCGCTCAGGACGCCCCACTGGACGATCCACGTATCGCTTCCGTCCGAAGAACAGGAAAGCTCCAGCGGCCGGGAAGGCTACGACACCCGTGAAGGCAGTTGCCGGTGAGGTTTCGATTTAGCCGCATTGCTTTGAGAGGTGAGTTGTGTACAGACTCGACTACGGAGGACGACTCGGCAGTGAAGAAGCAGCGTCGTGATAGGCGCCGTAGGAAGTACAAAGGCAAGAAGGAACAAGGTGAGGTTGGGTGATTTGTCGAGGGCTGGTATGTTGTTTATCGTAAGATACCGAAAAGGTTAACAATGAGGCTCCGCTAGTCGGTGCGTAGATGTTTTGAATATGATTGTTCCCTCGTTGGGGAAGTTGTCATATATCAACAGAATCTATTATTTATTTTTTTCATTTGTTATCGTCTTGACATTGATTATGGTGCTCTATTATGTGTGCAGCGTAGTAGTAGGTGCCGATCAGTTGCTACAATTAGGTGGTGACGTTGAATCTAGTCTTGAAGGCGTGTGTTGTAGAATGATTCTGAAGAGACAACTTCCATCGAAATGAGGAGATTTGCCACGTCAGTTGTTGTGTTCAAGTTGAAGAAGTGTTTGGATTATTCCTAGTTTGCGAAGTTAACGAGCACAGGCGATATGCACGAGGATGCAGATGTTGAGGAAATAGGCTGTTATCCTGTTGAAGCGACCTTTCTATGATTTCTAGTGAGGAATATAACTACGAACGATGGCAGTATTCGTTCCCGTTGTTATCGAGACAGCTTTAGAGGGACTACCACTTTTTGCTGTTCATGTGAAGTTACTAGTTTCAAGCGGATGGTCGAAGTATGACTTCGTCTCTGTTGATGCAGTATAGTAT